ATTATTATTATTATTGTTATTATTATTATTATTATTATCATTATCATTATTATTATTATCATTATTATTATTATTATTATTATTATTATTATTATTATTATTATTATTATTATTATTATCATTATTATCATTATTATTATTATTATCATTATTATTATTATTTTTATTATTATTATTGTTATTAATTATCTTAATAAAAGACTAACCAATAATACAATAGGCAGAGGTAGCAAAACGTATACGGCCTGATATGCCACGATAACGTGAACGACAACCGGATGACCAAACTCGAAATATATATTCCATTGCTAACCAAAATACAAATACTATCTCCTAAACATTTATTATTAAATATTTGAAAAATTATCATTATTTACAGTATGTTTATAAAGTAACAATGAATATATAAAATTTCAAATTAATTGATAATCTTATTCATTTAATGACTAAATATTTTAAATTATCATTTAATGTCATAATTTGCTGATAATCATGAATGTATGATTTAAATTAATTAAGTATTTCAATTTGTTAGTAAATTTTATAATAATTCTTATCATATTATGATATATTATGGAAGGAATTGAAAAATTTTCCTTAAAATTTTTCCTTATTCATTTAGGAAAATATTTGATAATTGAAAAGTTACAAAAGAAAGAAAAATGATAAGAAAGAAATGTTCATTTAAATTTACACATTTATTTAATTCTTAATATAAATCGAATTTATTATTGACAAAGAAAAGAAATAATTTAATTAATTAATGAAAATAAACTAATTTATTTAGCTAATTATCATATTCCATGCAAAAAATTAGTTCAAAATTTTTTGGAAAAAAAAAGATGATGAAAAAAGCATACAATATAATAAAGAATTAATGTTGCTTGCTCTTCAAAATCGGGCATTGTTGAGAAGACACTTAACGCGAGACACATCAATACCATTATAAGTCTAAATAAGTATACGAAATTATTGACTTAAATAATGAATAAACATTTTAATAATTATACCATAAAAAATTTTTCTCATAAAAAATTAAAAAATATAAATTTTATAACAATTTTGCATTTTAATAATAAATTTTAATGTAAGTCAAATTTTTGATACTCTTTATTAGTTTACTAATCTTATATCAAATAAAATAATCATTTATAGATTTGAAAAAAAAAAATCAGTTATCCGAAATTTCATTACATTATATGCTAAACCGATAGATTTACCTAATAAACATAATAAAAGTAATGGTAAGAGATATTATCAACAAATCTTATCAAAATATATGTGATAATTGCTAAATACAATTAAAATAAAATAATTATTAAAAATACATAAAAATCATATGAAATTAAGAAAAATTTAAAAGATTATATTAATTTTGGTAAAAAATGAAAAGTAAATACAAATATTT